CATAGTCTCTAATACAAGGAAGTGGCAGCTACATTGGTATTGCTCTCCATACATCATGTTGCAGCACAGACACCTCTAGTGTGGATGGACCCTGGATGTCTAATGTAGAGTGCCCTGTCAATCTATACTAAATTCTCATTTGGGAGTTACTTTTTTATTGATTCTGTTGTTTGTTTGTTTGAAGCAACTTCTTTTTTGATTGAACGATAAAGACACAAATGTCCTACCCATTATATGGTCCAATCAAAAAACAATGTTACTTCAATTAAAAAAGTTGCTTTAAGCAAAAAAAAAAAAATGGACTTCTATCAAATAAAACATTTTCAGTCAAAGAAAAGCAGTGTTCAAATGTATTTTTTTTAGTCTCAAATATATTATTTGCATTCAAATACTTTTTTCTTTGATTGAGAAGTTTTTTGTTCATTGAAGTGAAGATATTTTTGAATTGAAAATATATATTTTTAAATAAAGCAACCTTTTTTTGATTGAATGATAAAGAAACAAACCTACCTTCATAAGAAACTGATATACTGAATATTGGCTGAGCTAACAAAATATTAACAATCACCCTTGGCCACGCTGCATTTCGTAACAGGAGGAAGCAAACTCCTCAAGCCAGACAACTCAAAAAGAGAAACACAATTAACAGATGATGTCACGGTCAGTGACCTCTAGGAGCTCTCTTCATGCAACTGGGATTATCCACCACCTCAGGGGATAGGCAGTACCTGTTCTCCAGCAAGATCATTCCTCATTATAAATTCAAACCCCTGAACAAGAAAAGAGTCTCTCACAGCAAACTTGAAAAATCCAGAGGCCAACTTGGACTTTAGTTGAACAAGATGCAAAGGTGTATATAGGCCATTCCAATTTCTTGTACTGTAACGGATAGATATTTGAAAACCACACAGTGCTGTTTTGTTCCCACACCGTTCAAGGATTCAAGGAATTCTTAATAGTCATACCAGTTTACATTTTAATGCTTGCAATATGAAATTTGAAATCAGGTCCCAGTTCACTATGTCATGATGGGTTTCAGGTGCCTAGCCCACATGCAGAACACGCTCTGAGACGGGAGGAAAGTTTAACAAGTTTATTGAAGGCTCAAGCACGAAGAAAGTACAGATGACTGGATGTGGTCTGGGGACTGGTTCACTGGAGTCTTGGAGTGCACAGATAAGGTTTTGGGAGAGTCTCTGTTGGATCTGGAGAAGGGTTCATCAGCAGAGTCCGTTTGCTGCTTCAGCGTCTCACGTCCACTAAGAACAGACCTTAGCTTTGGGATTTCCCAGCTCTTGTCCAGAGCTGCTTGGAGGTTCTCTGAGAATCTACAGGTTTGGCTCTGAGGGTCGGCTCGGCAGGTTAGCTCGTCCTGAGCTTTCTCTGAGGAGACACAGGTTTCCAACTGGAGCAACACTCTGGCAAGGAAGGGAAGCTCAGCAGCTGCTTATAAAGCTGATCTCCTGATGACTGATGGATCACAGGTGTGGTCCTCAGCTCAGCGCCAGGAGACCAAGGGGCACCCTCTGCTGGAGGAAGTTGGACAGACCTCCAGATCCCAACACACTAAGCTTCATATTCAAATAAAGAGAAATCGATTAAGCTGAATTTAGTGCAGCTCACGTTCAGCAGTCTAACACTTAGCGATGGAAACAGTTTCTGATCCTGGGGGTTTAGCTCTGGATGCTACCCTAGGGGAGAGGCTGGAAAAGTGTGTTGGATGGGTGGAGTCCTCCATGATGCGGAGCACCCTCCCCCCGCATCTTGATGCGTAGAGGTCCGAGGTGGAGGGAGGGTGGTATTGTCATACCAAAATATACAGGTGTTTTAAGAGCCAGATAAAAAGCTCATGTAGATCGTTCTTTCTAGATTGTAACACTTGCTTTTATGTGGAACTTATTTTGCTTTTACCTTGTCTTGAGATTTTGTACAAATTCAAAAATGAGCAAAACTAAACATTTGTTTTCAAACATATTTCTCATTCTCAACTTTAGTATTATTTAAGTTCTATTTGTCCAACTTAATTCACTTTCAATGTTTGTGCTTCTTTTGTACAGTTTTGTGATTTTTTTTGTATGAAAGAGGCTGTATATATCGCACTTGCTTGCTTAATTCAAACAGACTGAGTCCCCCCTTTGAAGCGGCTTCTGTTCTTCTGTGGTTGCAGCTAATTCTCTATTTTGTTAACGTGTCAAGCAATTCCTCATTGTTTATGCTCCTTTATAGTCTCTGCCCACAAGAAACATGAGCAGATCATTAATGTATTGCTTATTTCTGTCAGCCACTGCAGGGGGTCTATCGCTGCTTCCTCTGTCTTTCCAAAATTCATGAAAAATGAATGAGGCCCTCTTTTTAGAGGATGTTCTCCCACCGTACCAGGTTCTATGATCACAGAGGAGTTTGTCTGTTCTCATCAGCATCTTAGCTGCAAAGGACTAGCACACAAAAGGCAGCAGAATTTATTACAATGAAAACTCCCCCCCCATCCCCCAATAAGCACACACCAAATAGGGCAGCTTTACAAAGGACCCTAATCGTTGTCTTTAGTACCAATCCACTAAAACAACAATATCCTCTTCAAACAGCATGTCAAAGCACAGCATGCTTACATAAAACAACATCCACTTGTCTCCACGCACAGCAGGTCCCTCTCCAGCAGCTATTTTATGTTCTCAGTGAATGATGGAATTATATATGAAGAGTCAGAAATGCAGTAAATGCAAGGAAACATGCTGTTAATATATCTAAATATGTGATTTGTTACCATCCTCCTGGCCTGAACTGCTTCTATAATTGGGTCTTTTCGTGACTTGCTGTGTGCAGTGACGTTCTCTGGAAAAGATCCATCTTGAGATGGATGTTCGTGTCAGTAGGAGAAATATGAGTAAACTTGTTTCGTTTATGAATAATTTTTGAATCTCTCTTGAACAACCTGAGTTCCTCAGGGAAGAAGTGATGGGGGATCAGCCACCTAAAAATGAATGTCTGAAATAACACAAAGCTGAAGCTACAGAGATGCCATTTTGTGAAAGTTTGGGTTCGTTATATTTCTAGTTCATTTCTTTCAATTCATTTGGAGCTAAAACGAAATCAACTTTCAACCAGTTTTTTACTTCATTGCCTTGAATTTTGTGACTTTGATGCCTTTAAAAGCTGTTCTGCATCCTGTAGAAAATCATTTGTAAAGCCAAATTTTGCAAGTTTGGATGTTCTATTTTGTCCCTGATACTGATCCGAGTCATTTTAGATTGAAATAATAGGTTATTTTTTCTGAAGTGGGATAATCAAAAGAGTAGTGTCATACAATAGAAAGAACAGAATAGAATAGAATAGAACAGAGATTTGTGTGGGACTGGTAGAAAGAAGAACACAGTAGACACCAGACTTACTGTACATAAATATCAAAATATAAAACTATAAGCTGTAAAGCAAATGATGAAAAAAGAAATTAGCAAGGATAAAGCAGTGTTAAGTTATTGATAAGTTATTGATAAATAAATAAAAAGAAAAACAGCAGCAGAACACAGTTGCGCTAATTAGTGTTGTGGCAATGCTATTTTTTGGCCCCGATACCTGGCTGTGCAATATTTACCATACGGATAACATACTGATACCATCTGTCTTGTCAAGCTGCTGCCTACCTTTGTGAAGCAGGAAAAAGACTAACCTGCCTACCTGGAATTGGTGACAATAGTTGCATAAACTTTTGGCTCTCAACATCGTATCGGTGCCCTGTTTGTTGGTACTCGCAGATACCACCATTTTAGTGCTGTATCAGGGACCTGCATGATACTGTTATTGGTATCGGTGCATCACTAGTGCTAAGCATTATTGTTGAAAAGACCACTCCCAAATGAACAGTACAAAGTTTTTTAAAATTACTTTACAACAATCTTTCTTGTAAATTACTTTAGCAGTTCTTTTAAATAGATCCAATTACTATTATTCTTTATTTCAGATGATTAGACCATGGCAATCAACAGCAAATATTAACACAATTCATAATTTAAAATCAGGTGGAAGTCATATTTAGCTTTTTTTTTTAACACTGTTTCTGCTGTAAAACAAAATAATATTTTGCTCTTTGTACAATGACAATGTTTCCTATAGATGGCTTATTTGATTCTTAAGTCAGTAAAAAAACAAAAAACAAACATAGAATATGCAGTTTGTTTATTATATTTTTTAAAGTAAAAACTACTTGTAATTTGTTATTCTTATTCTTATTTTTTTATTTATTTTTTTAATAAAAATCAGGATTCTAACTTAGAATAACATAGTTTAAGTTTTAGTAAACGCAAAAGTAAAACTTTAATAGTTAAGGTTAAGCCCTAAATTGTTTTATGGAAGTTACTTTTATTACAGCATGGATGTAGAAGGCGGAAACTTCAGTCTGTATGAACCTGTCCTTTGTTTTTACCAGATAATTTTAGCAGTTATTTATTCTACATGCTGGCACAGTTTGTAGCACTGTTGCCTTAAAGCAAGATGGTTCGATTTCCGGCCTGGGGTCTTTCTCTGTGGAGTTTGCATGTTCTCCCTGTGCCTGTGTGGGTTCTCTCCGGGTACCCCGGCTTCTTCACACAGTCAAAAAACATGACTGTTTTGTTAATTGGCTTCTCTAAATTGTCTGTAGGTGTGAGTGTGTGTCACCTGTCCAAGGTGTCACCACCTTACGCCCATAGTCCGCTGAAGATAGGCACCGGCCTCACTGTGACACTGATGAAATAAGTGGGAGAACATGGATGGATGGAGTTATATATTCTGTTATTTATTCTTCTTTTTTGCACAAATTATTTGAATATGGCTTAAAAATGGCTAGAAAAAAAACATATATGCAGTTCACTTACAGCAATAATCATAACAGCTAACAGTGCTATCAGTGCTGCTGTTTTTTGTTGTTGTCATTTTTTATTTTTTTTGATTTTCTGGAATATCAGTTTTAGATTTGATCAAACATCTAAAAAAGGCTACATCTGCGATCCTCTTGTGTTTTTCAGTACATTAAAGCTTTCTACAATAAGACCTGGATGGAAAGATATGGGGAACCTATTCTTCCAGAGACATCCACTCTTCTGTGGTCCATCACTGTGTCCATATTTGCCATCGGAGGCCTTCTTGGAACTTTATCAGTCTCTTCGATTATCAAAGTAGCAGGACGGTGAGTTGAATTAAATCCTACTGAAAAGGTAAGTGCAGTGAATTTCTGATTAGAGTTAATAAATCAGGGCATTATTTTGGTATTACTTTTTGATATGAAAAACAAAATGCATCCTTGGGGCTTTCAGTGGAATTAAGATAAGTTGAAGTAACACGCTGTTTCTTAAATGGGACTTGATTAATTAAGCATCAGTAAGTGGGGGGAACCTCTGTTAAATTTGAATGGTTGCCAACCATCCATGCTTGTTTAAACATTTCACACTCAGTCAACAAGGAAGGATATCAACAGCTGTCTTGGGAAATTATAAATAGCTGCTAATCAGTTTTATAAAAACTGTGAACCAATTTCCCAACAATTTCCCTTTTCCCAACAAGAGTTAAAACAATCATTTACTTAGTGAACAATTTTTGCAAGAGTGGACTTCCTGGAAAGTTCACCCCAGTGTCAGACTGTAGATTGATAGGAGAAGTAATGAAAGACAAGTCGGTGGAATGATTAATTGTATAACAGATGAGAACCCAGAGTGGATCAGAGGATTGCAGAGTAATTGCTGCATATTGCTTTTTTCAGACTTGCTTCAGATTTCAGTGCAAGAGTATTTTTTTCCCTCTCAGTATAAAGTATTTTTTTCTATTAGTATCTTCTCATGTAATTCGAGACTTAACTCAGAGCTGATCATACATACCTCATGTGACACAAGTGCCAACAAACTTCATTTTTTTCTTCCTGACATTATACAAGACAAGTAGTGCATAGCTGGGATGTTTTAGATAGCATATATCATTTTAAAGGTTTTCCTGATTAAAATATAAAAGGATTGGCCTGTTTGTCTATTCATGTACACTTTTTATAACTGCCTTTTACTGCTATTGTAGTCATCTGTGTTTTAGGGTCTATCTTTACCTGCCTTGGACAAATAGAGTGTCACAGACCGTAATTTCTATTTGAGTCTGTACTTCAATGATTCATTTGCAGACACCACTATTATATAACCAACTGGCAACATTACGCTGTCGCAAAATTGAATAGACCTCTATGCAGGAGCAAAGGAGAATTGGTTGAGTAACTTGTAAAGACAAAGCCCTTTTCCCGCTTCTAGATTAAATCCTATTAGAGAACTGATACATATGTTTGATCAGGTAAGCCTTATATCTGATTAGCTAACAACTTTTAGGTTGTTTAACTCTGGTGTTTAAGGGGGGCTCAGACTGCCATAACGAGGTGCTCTTGGTCACATAACTTTCAAAACTATTCAGTGTCACTTTATTGAAAAATCTCCCCCACACTCTCAAACTGCGTTTTATTGGCTCTCACGCTGCTTAAGAATAGCATTGCCCCATCATGATGGTGCCAACGTTTTGCTTTATGATCAGAACGGTGTGTTCATGGTGACGTGCAGTAGTGGTTTTCCATCATACCTAGTGTATTCAATTCTGCTCTCCATGGCTTGTGCAAAACTTTAAGGAAAACTGGTAGTCCTTTTAGATTTGCTATACTGTACCTACATGCTACATGTCCAACTGTCCGCGCTTTTATACTGACACAGTTCAGATTACGCTTTTTTTCCCTTTGTCTGGCCTTTTAGAATTTTTTAATTCCAAATCTGATAAGATGATTCCTTGTCTTTTTGCCCGTGCCCTCTAAGGATTCTTTGTATATACTTTACAGTCATTGGTTCTCATGCTGCACTTTTAAAAACGTGGACTCATAATATACAAGTTGCAAAATAAAAATGGCATATCTCATGCTTTCTGCTCCAGTAGTGAGTTCATTCCCCTAATTTTCCTTGAACAGATAGTTGGACAGACAGCTTGTCCTATTAGGCACCGGTTGCCAAGAAGTTGTTATACCCACTCTAGTGTTCTCCCTGTTGTCTAAAGCCCAAAAGCACAGTTATGTGAAAATGATTTTTGGTGACTTATTACCCCTCTAGCAATGTACTACTTAAGTTAAAACAGGGGAAGAGAAAAATTGAGTTACTTTTGATCTAACAGGAGGGCTATGACAACTTTTCCTGCACACTGAGATCAAGTCTCACAGCTAGTGTAATGAGTTTCTCAGGGTTTGGACAAGTGAGGTAGCTTCACATCATTTGTGTGTAGGGCTGTGAGCCCTCAACCCACCAGGGGCTGACTAAGGCTAGACATCACCTACTGTGCTTTGAAAATAATTTCAATTCAAAAGAATCCATTAACCACTAATTACCAGGACATCAGTGTCAGAGCAGGGGAAGAATTCTGACACTCATTCTTTCTATTTGTGGCCATTACAACACCCTAAGCTTCACCTTGAATCTTTCTCTAGATTTCTCTTGTGTGTCGATTGAGAGCTTTAATTTTTTTTTTTTTATATATGCTCTGTTAGACATCTTTTGCCCAGCTGGTTATCCTGAATAGGCTGACTTTCAGATGTCAGGGTGAATAATAGCAAAGGAAGACACATGCAGAGATCAAAGACAGCAATTCTACAAAAAAGTGACCAAGGAGTTCATTAAAAGTTTTCAAGTAAAGCTAAGGTTAATGTTTTTTTTTAATACTCTTTTTCATAATAAAGACAGGATATGTAGACAGCATTGCACTTTATTTTTTTTTTCTAACTATGATTTCATGTTAGTGAGGTTTAAGATGGTTTGCTTTTCTCTTGCAACAGTTAAAATGAGCAACTGCTCCTTTGAACCCTGACATTGGGGGATTTTAGGTCAGAACATTTTTCTCTTTAGTCTAAATAGCTTAGTTTCATCATAAAGTGTGTGTATCAAATATTATATATTCGAGAATGGTAATGTATATAAAAAATTTTTGAAAGTAGGTTTACCTGGATGCAAATAAGTTCATACATATACATGAAGCTTGTTTCATTTTGTTGACATTCAGAGGCATTTTTAAAGGGCATTTTGAAGAAAACCAATTTCCCAAGTTTTTTGTAATTGAATATTTTATGAAACAGGTTATGAATCATATATGAAAAATCCTCTTGGTTAAATCTTGAATCCATATATTTTCAATATGATGGAGTTTTGTGCATCCATGTGGTAGCAAACTAGAGATTGAGCCTGAACTAATAGATACCCCTATAAGATTTATAGAGCGATGAATCAGATTAAAAGAGTAATCTTTTGTTTTATTATCAGCATTTTTATTTTTTTAAATCCTGCATATGGTTTGAAGCATACAAAGTGCTGTAAAACACCAAGGAATGAGAAAATATTTACTGTCAAATCTTTTGTATAAAAAAAATGTTCTACTGTTTTTGCTATTGTGTTTAATTTATTTGATTTGATTCACCGTTGTTTAAAAATAGGACCTTTCTCAGTAGTGTGAAAAATAATAACTTTGTTTCCATGTTTGCTTACATAAAAAGGATAATAATATGGTTTGCTTCAGTGGATTTATTTCAAGTTTACTCAGAAAGATATTACACCTCAAAGCGCTTAAAGGAGTCACCTGCTTTGATATATTTAAAGTCTCTTGGGATTTCCAAAGGGACATTTCATGTTGTTTTTGGTGTGTGAAAGGTAAAAATACGAGAGTCAGGCTATGTTTGTCCTGGAGCACAGGGGAAGTGAAATTAGCTTTGAAAAGCCTCCCTGGAGGTTTAACAGTTTGTTGGCCCTTTCAGTGTGGAGCTAGCTCTATATTTTAGGTGAAAGCTCTTAGATAGAGGTCCCATGCCTGAGGTAGTGCCAAAAATTTTTCCCTGGGTTGAAGGGGCAGGGTTGTGCTCAGCAAGATATCCTGCAGTGTTTTGGGCAAACGAAAAAGGTGAAATATAGTAGATGTTTGTCTGTACTTAAAACTTATATAACTGCATTTGAGTGTTTTCACCTAAGGGGCTTTATTTTGTGGTTATACATCCTTTCCATCCACTTTGTCCTTTTAAAGCCAGAAAAAATGCTGTCTTTCTATTTTCTTAGTACAAAGTGTCTGAAGTCTCCACACTTCTGTATGTTTTACTTCTGAGTGCCTTGTGGAAATGTTCTGACAAAAGTGAGATGTGCTTGCTGTGCACTTTTTAATCTTAATTAAAGCTTCAGCAAATGTCTTGCTATCATGTCTATACCTACAGTAATGTTCTCTTTTATTTCTCTTATAGTGTCATGTCTTTATTGTTTTTCTGTCTTACAGAAAGGGAACCTTGCTGCTGAATAACTGCTTTTCACTGATAGCTGCTTTATTACTTTCACTGGGCGAGATATCAAAATCTTTCGAGATGCTCATCATTGGCCGGATCATTATGGGGGTAAACTCAGGTCAGTGTGCAACTGAATGACACATTTTTTCATTCAACTAAGAGCCTGATCTTCACAACGGTTCCATGTCTTAAACCAGACGTGCGTACAGTACATGCAGAGCAGACCTTCAAAGAAGGCGCAAACTGATATCCAATAGCAGAGAGTGTGGAAACCTTTTTCTGCATGCGTGTCTTCATCAATATGCAGATCATATTCTTATGACCAAAACGCACAAACTAATGGGTAGAGGATATGCAAATGTAAACATTTACCACAGGCAAAGCAATTATTTCAAATTGGAAACTGAACTGCATCAGCAATTGTTGCGTCTTTTTTAGTACTTCTAAAAGTCAGGTGCAAAAAAACTGATTTGCATAAATATCTGCTGTCATTGTTGCCACCAAGCAGTCATTGGTACAATACCAGGGTTTGGAGAGAGATTCTGTGTGCATGTAAACATATTTGGACCTTCGTAAATATCAATACTAAAGGAACATTAAAAAGGAAAGTTATGCAGCAAGACGGAAGATCTTAATACAATCAAACCAAATCACAAAAAATGATTGGACTTAATCTTTTTTCGGACTTAATTGTTGCATGGTTATTAAAAAAAGAAAGAATATTAAAAGAGTCTTTCAAGAGACGTGGGGTGGGGCATTGAAAGGCCGCATCGTAGCAGGAATCTTTGTTCTCCCTTGATTTAATAAAACATAACCGCAATGCATAGCTGTTTTCATTTCTTCTTTTTTGTATGTAGCACTTTGAGGCTACGACTCTATGAGTAAATACACTGCCTGGCCCGAAAAAAAAGTCGCCACCTGAATTTAACTAAGCAAAGAGGTACGCAGTAATTATCCTATTGGTAATTATCCTATTGGATAATTACTGCAAGTGGTGCAATGACTTGCTTCTCATTTCCTAAACAACCATGTCGAAAGACGCATCCCGTGGTCGAGGGAAATGATGTTAGTCTGTTTGAGAAGGGTCTAATCATTGGCATTGCATCAAGCAGAGAAAACATCTAAAGAGATTGCAGAAACTACTAAAATTGGGTTAGGAACTGGCCAACGTATGGGGACACATCATCTTCAAGGAAGAAATGTGGCTGGAAAAAAATCCTGAATGATCGTAATCAGCGATCGTAATCGGCGATCACTTAAACGTGTGGTGATCAAATCGAAGAAAAACAACAGTAGAACTCAGGGCTATGTTTAATACTAAAAGTAAGAGCATTTCCACACGCACAATGCGAAGAGAACTCCAGGGATTGGGACTGAACAGCTGTGTAGCTGTAAGAAAACCACTAATCAGTGAGGCTAACCGGAAAAAAAGGCTTCAATTAGCTAGGGAGCATAAAGATTGGACTGTGGAGCAATGGAAGAAGGTCATGTGGTCTGATGAGTCCAGATTTACCCTGTTCCAGAGTGATGGGCGAATCAGGGTAAGAAGAGAGGCAGGTGAAGTGATGTACCCACCAAGCCTAGTGCCTGCTGTTCAAGCCTGTAGGGGCGGTGCTATGATCTGGGGTTGCTGCAGTTGGTCAGGTCTAGGTTCAGCAACAGTATGTGCTCAAAGAATGAGGTCAACTGACTACCTGAATATATTGAATGACCAGGTTATTCCATCAATGGACTTTTTCTTTTCCAAGATGACAATGCCAAGGTTCATCGGGCTCAAATTGTGAAAGACTGGTTCAGGGAGCATGACACATCATTTTCACACATGGATTGGCCATCACAGAGTCCAGACCTCAACCCCATGAGAATCTTTGGAATGTGCTAGAGAGGGCTTTGCGCAGCGGTCAGACTCTACCATCATCAATGCAAGATCTTGGTGAAATATTAATGCAACACTGGATGGAAATAAATCTTTTGACATTGAAGAAGCTTATCGAAACAATGCCACAGCAAATGTGTGCCGTAATCAAAGCTACAGCGGTCCAACAAAGTATTAGAGTGATTGACCTTTTTTTTTTGGTCGTGACTTTTTTTTTTGGCCAGGCAGTGTATTATTTATCATTACCATTACTATACTGTTAATTTGTTATCATTATGATCTGCATCTCTGTGGCTTTCAGCCTCATCTCTTGGTAACGACCACTCTCAAAAGACCTGTTGAACAGGCAGTTTGCACCTTTTAATGGGCGGAACCAAATTAGTTTGTATCACGTAACTTTCACAGCAATCTTTGTAGATCACCTGCAACACGCCCCCCTATTGCACATACTAAAACAAAATTGTAGGTGCAATTTAACCCATCCTATTAGGAATCAATGAAGATCTGGTCCTTTCGGTACAACTCCAACAATTTTGTTAAAAAAAAGGTGCAAAAAATAAAAACCATTAGACACAACCCAAGATGTGAGCCTGAGTCACCCAGCAGCTGAACAACTTAAAGCAACCAAGAGACTGAACACTTCTAAAGAGAAATTATTTTAACATTTACCGGTACTAAATGTTTCAACCTAAAATAGGTTCCAGGTTCATACTCTGGTCATTTCTAATACTAAGGCTGCTTTTTTTTAAATGCATAACTTGTGTAATAAATAACATTAAAAAAATCAAGTTATAATACATGAAGTAAAAACGTATTTGAAGCAGCTTTATTTAGAGTCAAAAGAAAAAAAATTGGCAGATGTGGAAAATATTTTACCTATCAAATATGAATTCAGCAGAGATCAGACAGCAGCGTTGCTCTAATTGCCTTCTGTTCGGAGAGCTTCCTCCAAACCCCAGAGGAAGATCGTAACAACAGACCTCAATCAGAGATGACTTCAGCGCACTCTTGGCAGCAACCACTCCTTACATATTCAAACCAACAGTGAGATAGAAACTTTACTCAGATCCTTTAATTGAGGGAAAAGTTTTAAACAAAAAAATAAAAAAGCAAAAACTGCATTTTCTGTATTCAAGTTGGCAGTCAGGAAGGACTTGTAACTAAAACTGAAGAAAACTAAACCAAAGAGTTGATTTAGTTTTGTTTATTGCCCCAATAAAAGCTCTCTAAGTATCGATTTTCTCAGGGTCACTGATTTTTCCATGTTTCAGCTGATAAATATTATTAGCGCAATGTACATTTTAAGACATCTTTGTCTCTCTGGAAAAAAAAATCCTCTGAAATCAGCCAAAAATAAAATCAGAGATCAAACAGTACAAAATTATGAAATGACCCTCCGACCAATCGGTCAGATGGTATCAGACAATGTGGACCCAGACAAAAAAAAAAGAAAAAAAAAGAAAAAAAAAAACAGGATAAAGGGACTCAGATCAAACAGCATTCACCCTATTTGGCTAACAACCAAACTGATTAGGACTAAACTGAATAAGATCACATGCTCAAACAAAAGAGACCAAGATGCATCCCATCAACACACCTTAGATAAAACATCTGATCCTTTTTTGCCCTAATGCCCTTTGGCTCGAGACCAAACAGATATAAACCAATCAAGCCTAGAAAAAAATGACACCATGCAAAACACCATCAGACCAAAAGACCCCAGTAGAAACTAATTCAGACAACAGCAAACAGATTTGGAGAAATCAACCTGGGTAAAAAAATGCCAACAATTGAACTCAGAGAGAAATACCTAACTGCTGATGCATAATAGCTTTAGATTCCACCAATTTTATAATCACCATTATGTTGTTACCACTTCTATCTACTAAAATGTACAGTGATTGTATTTGACACTTTTTTCCAGGTATATCTCTGAGTGCCCTTCCCATGTACCTGGGAGAAATATCCCCAAAACACATCAGAGGTTCCATTGGCCAGTTCAACTCCATCCTAATCTGCTTGGGAGTTTTCACAGGACAGGTGCTGGGCCTACCCGAGCTCCTGGGTCAGGTCAGTGTGCAGATATATGTCTCCATATGTAATCAGTAGGTTTCAGAATTCTGCAGTGATTATTTGCTGCTTTATTCAGTTGAAAAATTAAAGAAAAGCCTGAGAACTCACGCAACCTTGAAGTAGCACAATAGCAAGTATGGTAGTAACTTGTCCTGTTTCACTGATAGCTCAAGTAGCTGATGTATTCTCCAGAACCATGTGAACAGAAACCTTTTTATATGGTCTGTGTTAGTAACATGCTAAGTATGCAGAGTGGGCAGTGTTAACATTTAAACAACAGATCAGCTGGATTACGGCTGGAAAGCAACATATTTAATCTTGTCAATACACAAACTAGAACATGGGACTTTGTTGAATGTGCTTAATAATCGGTATGCCTGTCTGTGCATTAATTAGCATGCGGCTGCTGGTGTTTATTCTCTCACTCCATTATATTAAGCTCTTCAAAAATGAATAATCAAATAACCTTAATTGGTCTGACAGACATAGGGTTTTTTCCCCGCAATGATGACCCCTTGCACAGGTGAAAGATTTTTATTTCCTTTATTTTTTATTTCCTGCTGGCATAACAGAAACTCAATAAGAAAAGAAATCTTGGAAAAACCTTCTCATCATCGACACCTCCACTCTACAGTTTGTGAGACATGGAGGGGAGTGTCATTTTAACTATTTCTGCTGCATTCTTGAATGCCTGGGAGAGAAACTGAAGGAGTTTAAGTATTTTGAATGTTTTAAGTAGACCATAATACTGATATAATGGATTCTGAAAAAGTGATGAATTATGAAATATAGATCAATATTTGGACTAGGGACTTTTCAATAAAAATTCCACACTGCTACTCATCTGGGTATATGCCAAATCCTTTAGATCCTCCAGTTTTAAGATATATTGCATGATACATGGCTGAGCAGTAAATACCTGTCACCTTGGGCCCTAAAACAAAAAATACTGCCAACATCTCTGTTCCCTAAAAAGTAATGTAATAGAATGAAAACATTTACCATAACATCTCAGTATAGTCTAACATAGCTCCCATTTAACTCTAACAAATAGAAAATATAATAAATTCTTACAAGTTACGTTTAGATCATTAGTTGATGGATAGCTGCAAGGTGGACTGAATCTGGACTTGAAGCAGGTCTCTGCTGGACATCACACATCTTTAGAATCTTATGCCCCATGTTGCACAAAAGCTATTTAGTGGCAAAAGTGAAAATGATTTTTACATTAACTGTCATATGTATCTGCCCTGCAAAGATCAGCTATGTGTCCAGCAGATATTTGATCATAACACACTACTCTGAGCAAAGGATGCTGTCATGCAATTAGATACAGTGGAAGTTTTAATACTTGACCAAATAAGCTTTGGTCTGTCAGATGTTGCCCTGTGAATATTTGTCAAATAGGGCAGTGGGATTTGGACAGTAGGTTGAGTAAACAGAGTAGTGGCATTCTCAAACTGTAAACTCTGCAGACTTCTGATGACTTTTGTGACAACTTCGCTTTAGTTATAAAAGCCTTTATTTAGAGAAACGATTTAACTACCACTGACAATCATATCCCAGTTGATAAATCTTTAACTTAGCTGGTGAAATTTTAATAAAAATATTCTGAGCAACATTTATATGATTAAAGAAAAATATTGAACTATGTATCATATTGAAAAAAATACTTATAAAATTGTCTAATAACCATAACTAATAAAATAATGAAATTATATTAAAGTTCATTGTGGTTGTTTGTGTTTGAGAACCAAAAGGTCTGTAGTTGTTCTGGGTGCTTCTGCTTGGCTTGTTAACTCAGCAGGCTGAGGGTTGTAGCTGGTGGAAGGAGAAAACCACTTCACTCAGTGATCATAGAGTCCTTCTCTATGGATCTTTGGTCAGATTCTTTCCTGCAGCAGAAAGAACTATTGCAGACAGCTTGTCTTTGTGACTGCTGGGCTGAATTTCCCTATAATATCTCGGAGATGCATCTGGTGATACTCCTTCTCTGAACATGTAATGAAAAGGGGTCATCTTCAATAAGTTCAAATGGAGTGCTTTATCAGTCTGCCATTTTGAGTCCCTACATATTTTATTCGCCATTATTTCTTGGCTAATGACAGCATAGCAGAAAAGATATACAGGAATTTGTGATAAGACATTTTGGGAAGGGGAATGCTTGACTAAGAAATCTCAAACAGTTTGCCTAACTCTTTTTGGGCCTTAACTTAGTGATTCACTGAAGATGCTCACTGTAGTGGTCAGTCTACAATACAGTAAAAGATGGTGATGATCTTGGGCTGCGGTGCTGTTAGATCATATTGGTTTGGATAGCTAAGTTCCCTAATTAAAGGTAAATGGACTGAATACCTATGGGGCTTCTCTAGTCATTCAGACCACTCATAGCAATTTACACCTAATTACATATCCCAGTCTGACAAAACATCAAATAAAGGTCAAGGAAATCCCCATATGAAAAAAAATGCATTTTCTATTTATCCAGTTTATTCTCCTCTGAAAAAGAAATAGGTTTGATCTTATAAGACTATTTAAGTAATGAAGACAAAATCAAAAGACATCTCTGAGGGAAAAATACTGTTTTACATCATTATGAATTTATGAGGCCACTAGTTGTATTATCAGAATTTGGGTAACGACACTAAATAGAGCTTAAGGCCTGAGATTGGTCTTGGATGTCAAGGATAAGTGTTTTTAATCTGAACACCAAACATAATGTGAGTCACTGTGATGCTGAGCCAGTGATCTATTCAACTGTTTGCATTACAATGGCTTTGCTTTCTTCCCTCATATTCTATAATGAACAAAGGTGGGAAAGGTAGAGCAGTCATAAAATGTTTAGTGTAAGAAAGGTTTTCCAACAATGCCAGAGAAGTAGACATTATGTATTTCCACTCTCCTCACACATGTAAGTGTTTTTATTATCAGGATTAATTATTAATCAGCAGAAGAAAGTCATTAAAAATGCACCTCAAATCAGACATGACCATAAACTGTATAACACAGTTCAGTTTATCTGATATTGTCAGGCTGGCTGGAGGTTTTTGAGGACCCAAATGCAGAGATGAGGAGGCAGAGATGAGTTTGCAAATTTAATGAGTTTCTACAGGCAACTGAGGCCAAAAAAAATAAATAAATAAAAATAAAAATTTACGAAATGTTAAAGATCTGTGTCTGCACCTTGAAGCTTTCTCTCTATGGTTATTTTTCCTGAAAAAAGATCACTCGGGACAAACTCTTTCAATAACGCTTCATAATGTATATGTATTAAACAACCATGAGATATGACAACATATTTTGATAGAAATTGTAATCTTACTCAGATGAGAGAAGTTGCTTAGAGTTACAGAAGGCAGCACTTACCAGCTGGGGTCACTTCACGGGAAGTGGCCCTTACAAACAGGTAGAGAAGCATTTTATACTTCAGTATGCCACATCATCACATCATTACATCATACACGTTTGCAGATGAGGAGACATGCATGACTCCAGCCTTATCAAATTATGACACTTTGTTCTCAGCTGAAGGACACCACTCTCATTCCATTCCCAAATATTTGTCACGTACAGAATGAAGATTATAACTGTGTATCCGGACAGAGGAGCTGTATTAATTAGATAATCTACTGGGGGAAACATTAGTTCTGACCTGCAACAGGCAGCTAATATTTAGGTGTATTAAACTTCAAACATCATCAATGATAATTATCCTAACAGGGAACAGAAGGGAAAACAAACACGAGGAGCCAGGAAACGACAGAGCAACCAAACTACAACCACAAGAAACCAGCACTGAGTTACTGCAGAGGTGGTGTATATATGGGGAACAGAACATAGGATGGGCTAATGACCTGAGGTGTGAGTGGAATTAACAAGAATAAAGCCAAGGGGAAAGGAACAACAGAGAGTAGCTCAAAAAATCAACAGCTAGAAACAACTACAAAGACACAAAAACTACAAAGAAAATTACCCAAAACAGAGGAAAGAACCCTGACAGATATACTGCTCAGCATTTAACTTTATTGTTTTAGCAGACAACAGCAGCAGCACTATAATGTGTTTAAATACTATGCATGGTGCTGTATCAGTTATTTGATAATGATACGGAAAACCCTGTGAGGTTATTTTAATCTGATGCAGAACTTGCAGAACACTATGTTGGATGAAGTATATGATACAAAATGCTGATGAAGGTTCTCAGTCATCCAGGTCATAGTCATTCCTTAAAAATTAAAAAAAATATCCACTGGACTTGGTTTTCAAGATTTGAAGACGTTTCGCCACCTCTCCAGGAAGCTTTCACATTTGAATTGAGAAAGCTTCCTGGAGAGGTGGCGAAACGTCTTCAAATCTTGAAAACCAAGTCCAGTGGATATTTTTTTTGTATATGATACAAAGGATTTATAATCAGATCGTTCTGTTTTAAAAGTGCTTTGTACAAAAAAAGCAGAGTTTTTAATGTAAAAAATGTATGTCTGATATTTATTTGATTACTTTTGATTTAAATTGAACTTTGGGTTTTGAAAATTGTTAATGAGAATCATGAGCAGCATATGTAGGAATGACATTTATATATAAATTACTTTGCTGCTGACATCAACTTTTGACAAAGGCATCATGTGTAATAAGGTTCTTTATGAGGCCACCCATCAGCCTTCATTGTCCATGCTCTCCTGTCAGCCTGCTTCCCTCCTCATCTTCCTTGAGACATTAATGTAAGAGTTGGCCACAAAGGTTTAAATGCCAAGGTCTTTCTAACTGATGAGGTCTCACTGCTCCGTTCTGAATTTTTCAACTCCACGGCCTCACAGCAGATCGTTGCAGTTTGACTTGACATTCAAGCCTGAGTTGCCCCTGCAGAGAAAGAGAGAAAGGGAAATTTCATCTCTGCTCTCACTTAATTATTTTTCTTCACTTTCCCTGTCTGGCTGCCCACACTGCCCATCAGCCATCTCTATGAGAAAAAAAAAAAGAAAAGAAAACTTTTACCCTTC